AGTGCCTCCCAGGGCGGCGCGGCCAGGGGCCAAGGCCTCCAGAGGCCGCCGTTCTGTCGCAACTGGAAGGAGCTGTCGGAGAGAAGGGAACCGGGGAAAGGGGGGTCTCAGTGCGGAGAGAGTTTTGGAAAAGAACGTTGATATTGCCCGACCCGCAGGGCGCCATGGGAAAGGTAGTTCGGCGCAGACTAGCGGCTGGACTACAACTCCCAGCATGCCCCTGGAGGAGCCAGCAGGGCGTCTGCGGTGGCCTACTCCGCCACGAAGGTAGTTAGTGGGGTGGTGCATTTGTGCTGTAATTTAAATATATCCGGTAGAGAAACTGCCAGGGACTAGGGTTTCCATCCTGCTGCATGTTCCACCCTTCTGGAGCCATCTTATTTGCGGCTTGACCTCCTTGCACAAGGGATTCTGGGGATTGTGGTTTCCGAATGGATCGAGGCTGACACCTGAAGGACGCGGCTTAACCACTTAGCCCCTAGTCGTCCTGCGAGGCTTACCGATGTTACCTGGGCAGAGCTGAAAGAGGAGAGGGTGAGCCGGAAATTTTTGCTGGCAGCTGGTGCCAGGCCACACCCGCACACCACCTTAACGTAAATAAGCCCAGAGCCCTTCCTCCAAGTTCAAAAGGCGATTTTGCTCCTAGGTGTTATTGAGAACTGGCTCAGAGGTCAGCTCTGAGCTAGGCACTGTGAGAACGCTTAATAAGACGGTGTCTTTTCAGGAAATCTACAGGCAAGACTCAAACTGAAAAACTTAAAGGGTATGTGGCAGGGCAAATCCTAGGGTACCAGGAGACCCAAACCCTTGGCTCGACCCCAAACTTTGAGGCTTGTTTGACGGTGACCCTTAATTCTTCCACCTTTTCTGATGCTGTGGGTGGACCTGACCTTCACTAACCCCCTTCCCCGAAAAACCTCTAGGCTGACCTTCTGTCATTTCTTTTCACTTCAAGATTCCCCTCCTGATGCTGATTTTACCTGATCATCCGAGTGCCGAGAGTGGGAGTGGACAACGTGATTTCATCTGCCAAACGCAAAAGATTTGGAAGGCTGGTTGGTACCTTTTTCCATCCCTAGATTTCCTGATAGATGATACTGAAAGTAGTTCCAAATCCCTGCCCATTACCCCCGCCCCCTCCGCAAATTCATGACCCCTCAATATAGGTTATTTCTCACCTCCACCTGCTCTCCCTAATTCTGCAACAGCCCTCTTGTAATTGGCTTGTAATTAGTCCCAGAATTTTCTCAGGAGGCATTTGAGAGGAGTAGAGAAGGGTGGTCTGGGGGGGAAAAAAGTTCTTGCTTTCTTTAGTCTGAATATTGAACTGAGCTGTGTTTGGGTTGACAGTGGCATTGCTGCTACTGTTCTTCTTCTCCTCCTCGTCTGTTTCTCCCTCTCCCTCTTTTCCTTCTTCCTCTTCTCCGCCTCCTCCTCTTCCTCTTCCTTCTTGTCTCAAGGAGTATCATTGTAGCTAAACTTCCTGTGTAGAAACAGCATGTTTTCTTCCCGAGGGAGTCGATGTTGTCACCTCAGTTCACAAATCAGCGCAGCCACCTCTAGGGTGCATTGCAGCGCCTGCTAAAACATTCCTTCAAAGCAAGCCCACAGGAGGCATGTTCTCTGCACTTTCCTTAAAAGGCTAGATTTTCTCTAAGGACATTTCAGTAGATCCTAAAATAGATGAGAAAGCTTATTTGGAATTAGAGTCATTGGCCTCCATCTTTCTCCGTAAGATCTATTGATCTTGACTGACTTTTTTTAAAAGAAGCTCTGTTGGGTCCTAGAATCTGTTGCTATCTGAGTTTTTACTTTTCTAGATTCCCCTGTTACCAGACTAGGCCAGACTTACACAGATTCCAAGTCTTACTAGTGAAATACAAAAAAAGTGTTTTCATCCCATAGGATTAAGGTAGCTAACATGTATTTACTGAGCACCTATTTGGATGCTTGGATCAGAATCTGAGGGAGGAGGTTTAAAAAAGAAGAAGAAGAAAAAAACCAAAAAACAGAAGACTAGACTCCTTGCTTTCCGTTCTCTCCGAGACTAATGACAGTTATAATAACACCACAGTTTTTAATGCTTTACATATATTTCGTCAGTGAATCCTCACAGCAACCCTATGAAATAAAGTACTATTACTGTTCTCAATTTATACATGAGGGAACTGAAGCATAGAGATAAATGACTTGCCCAAAGTTACACAGATAGTAACTGGCCAAGCCAAAGCCAAGACTCAGACATAAACATTTTGGCTTCAGAGCCCAGTGCTTACATAGCTACACCAAACTGCCTACATAAAAGAACAAACATAAACTGATGAAAATACTTGAAAATAGAAAGAAACATGTCTACAAGCAGCATGAAACCAGGAGCCACTCCACAGCTGTGCCCCTAAACCTCTTAGTCTCTGGACCTATCTTCTCAGCTGTAAAACCGTGACTCTCTTACAACTCTTAGTAATTCTTTTGTTCTTAGGGCAAAGTAATCAGATCAACCACTGTAATCTCAGCACTCCTACCACACTTGCTTTCTGTAAAATTTGTCCCATCTGGCCTTGCATTCTTATTCAACTTTTTATGTATACTGTCATTCCAACCAACTACCCACAACCAGGAAACAGTGTTCTACTTACCTCCTTGAACACCCAGTACAGTAGTTGATATACAGTGTGTCCTTACCAGTACTTAAATAAACCAAATGACTGACTTCAAATTACACATGACACAGAAGGGAACAGTCTGATCAGGCTGGAAAGGTTGATTTGAGATATTCTAGAAAGGTGAGCTTTTGAACTTGATCTAGGAGAAACTATGGAGAAATATCCAATTAACGGGAAAGGGAAGGGAAACTCTTGTTTACTATGTATCTTCCATGTACAATTACTGAATTAAGCATTTTTTAAGTTGATGTATAGTTGATTTACAATGTCATGTGAGTTTCTAGTGTACAGCAAAGTAATTCAGTTATACATATATATTCTTCTCCATATTCTTTTCCATTATGGTTTACTACAGGATATTGAATATAGTTCCCTATGCTATACAGTAGGACTTGGTTGTTTATTTTAAATATAGCAGTTTGTATCTGCTAATCCCAAACTCCTAATTTATCCTTCTCCCATCCCTTTCCTCTTTGGTAACCATAAATTTGTTTTCCATGTCTGTGAGTCTGTTTCTGTTTTGTAAATAAGTTCGTTTGTGTCATATTTCAGTGAACTAAGCATTTGACATACTATCTTGTTTAAGCTTCATGGATGTGCCTCTGCAAAGGATACTATTATCTATAATATCAGAGTAGGTACTATTATACTATTATCCCCAATTTCATAAATGAACGATGAGGATTTTGTTCCTAGCAGAGGGATGTACATGGTTTGTTAAATTTGGAGGAAATGATTTGACCTGCATTGTGGCTAAACCGTGTCACACTAAACACAGTAATGGCAAATGTGTGGTCCATCCTTAAGAAAAATCAAAGGGAAAGGGACCAACATTATTGAAGGATCTTAACTAAGGCCTGCAGTGCATTGGATGTTTAAGCATATTGTTCAGCCTTCACAATACATTTATGAGGTGTGTGTTATGTTTATTCCATCAATGTGAAAAGAGTCTGGGGAGGGTTAAAATATGTCCACTGTTGCTACACCGAGCCTGCAAAGGGCAGAAGCAGAATTACCTGACTGACTTCAAAACCCAGGCATTTTCACTAACCACAAAGCCATTCTATGTTGCCATCTTTTAGTCCAGTGGCACTTATTAGAAATGGAAGTTATCAGGCCCCACCCAGAGCTGCTGAATAGGAGGGAGGGTCAGAGGTGGCATTCTCTTTTCACCAACCATGCAGGTGATTCTGATACATTTTCAAGTTTGAGAACCACTGGCTAGCAGAAGGGACATTGTAATAACCATTTCCCTTCTTTAAAAAGATGTCTCGCTTTTGGTTTTTGTATTCTGGTTTAAAAAGTAATTATATAATCATTGAAGAAAGTATTAAGAATAAAAGTCAACTCATAATAAAAATCACTGAGAGGTATTTGCTGTTGACATTTGTTTTGCAGTCACTGTTTTCGTGAAGCTCAAATTTTCAAGGACCTCTCAACATTTTCCAGTCCAATGCTCTATTATAGATCTAAATCCTCTTTTTCCTTTTAGTCACTATAAATCTTTCAGCTACTCCTTCTACTTGGTTCTGCTACTTACTGTTACTAAATCACTTTGAATGTACTATTTATATAGCATTTACATTGTATTTACAACTATTTACATAGCATTTATATTGTATTAGGTTTTATAAGTAATTTAGAGATGATTTTAAATATACAGGAGGATGTGTATAGGTTATGGGCAAATGCTACATCATATTATGTAAGGGAC